CCTCCGCAGACTCCAAATCTAATGCGAGCGGACGAAAAAAACAAGCGGCAAATATCACTGCATCAAAGTAAGAAACAAAACATTAAATCAGAGCCTTTTCTTGTCTCCTCTCTTCATAGTTATCTGCCATCCACCTTCCGGCATGGCAACAGACATCTTTGCCCATTTTTGGCATGGTGACAACTGTCAGAAGGCAACAAAATTTCTTGTTTTTTTTCTCCAAAATCAGGCAAAAATTAATGCGCGCGCTGATGTCATTCATAAAAATTACTTGCTGTGGCCTTATCCCTACACTGAGCCAGGGCGTAAATCCCCAGGCGAGTTTGTGTTCTGCTTTTAATCCGATGAGTCAAAACATAGGCTTTCATCCTGGAGATACGGCAGTGGTCAATGTTAGTCCTTACGTTTCGTCCTTTAAGCACCTCTCACACATAGCCGAGTCATTAGATAGCTTTAAACAATGTCTAGAGTTAGATGTTCAAGGGTTAGGTGTAACACGTCGATCGGTGCCTGCGAAGCTGGTGTGTTACGCCGAAGGGCGGTCATACGGGCTATACAGATACAGATATACAGATATGGCCTCCCGAACACTAGCCTACCACCTTCTTCCCCTGGCTATGGTTGGGAGTAGGTCGACGAGAGACTTTTTTTAAGATCTGCTTTGGTTCGGAGAGGTTGGCTACTCTTCTGCTGCACCAGCCGAATGTTAAAAACATTCGGGTGTTGTTCGGCAATGGTTGGCTGGTGTTCGGGAGTAGGTCGTTAGTGGTCGAGGCGTATTTGAGAGTCAGATTTGAATCAACTTTAATTCAAATTTGATACGATTCGTATAGTAAGCTAGGCGTGGTCTAAATCTACTCAGCAGACTGCTCCCGAACTTAATTAAGCCAACGTTAACGTTGGTTGGTTGTCGCTGTCATATTCGTCGTAGGACGTCGAACGATTTTATTGTAAAATAGCACAAGGCATGAGAAGTTAGAACTGTTGAATCCAGAGCCGTGCTTTATCCAGAACCATGCTCGAGCTCAGGCACGGTTCTGAATAGTTAACGCTTATTCAGAACCGTGCTTATAGGGCAAATCTACGTTCTTGCTATCCAAAACCGTGCCTGACCTTAACCAATTCAGGAACAGAACTCAGACAAAATTAGAAGATAGAACTGTGGCGTTGAGTCACTTTACTTCTCAGTGTAACTGTAAGAAGAGAAAGACATTGCTAGAGGCACACCCACGCTGACTCACGAGAAAGAGGGGCGAGTTTATCAACTTTCCGTCCACGATACGAAGCCGTCTGGAGTTTGCAGGGGCGGCCTGTATTTACCGTAGCTGACAGATAAGAAACCATTACCCCCGTGCTCTGGCGCGCTCTGTCCGCCTTTCCCAAACCAGAACCATCTGAGACTAGTGTCAGCTCCCTCAGTAAAGCTAGCAGGCTAATGAATAGTTATGATACGGGTACAGCCGGGGTAGCCCTTGGTAAGAAATCTCCAAGACGGCGTTCCCAAGACGTCTTGGAGTAGATGAGCCGTGGGAAGTGGGGCAGGGGCGCTCTCACAGACTTTCTGGGTCTGCCACTCAGGGTGGTGTTCTGTACATCTGTAAGTTTCTTAGCTCTGCGTCACTCAAGCGGGATCATTAAAAACGAGCTTTTCTCTGCCCTGGATGAAAACAGGTGAAACCGTTTGCGACCCGAGTCTTGCGGCCTTGTGATGTATCACAGACGGGGCCGTACCCGACAAAGCTAGGTCAGGAGACACTTGTCTATGGCCTGGATGCCAGACTGATATATAATATAACTAAACTGATGTCCACTGTCCAGTCTATCGTGGTTTGGGTCGGCTTTCTACAGGGCTGCATGGAGCTCTTTGCCGCCCGACTCAACTAGGCTCCCTACCCTGGGTGCCAAACTAGTATCGGGCCGTTAGCCTAGAGGGCCGGACAAATTCTCCTGGCCTCCGTAATAGGCGGGGAAATGGCTCTTGGCTGCCGAGGGAAAACGGCTAACGGCCCGATACTAGTTTGGCACGCAGGGTACTAGGTATCTGGCAAAACCCCTACAGGTGCCAAACTCCCACCAGGGAGCCATTTCAGCTGGGCGGGGCAAAACTACTAGAGCCCCGAAGATAGCCCAACCGAACCACGGTAGACTGGACACCCGGGGAGTTAGCCAGCTCAAGGTCTAACTGAGGAGAGGCTGGTTGGTTGACTAACAGACAAAATTATATAAGAATCTAAAGAATCTGCCATTATATGGAAATTTGCCCCCTAGCGATTTCCTTTTGAATTTCAGCTGCTTGTTTCTTTGTGACCTGGATATTTCTGCATATATATTTAATTTTATGATGTTACCCAAAGAAAATCTGCAGACTTTTCGATCTTGTAGTACGATAAGCTTGCCCCCAGACTTAACCAGGATTTGTCTTAACATACCTCACCATTTAAATCCCTCACACCTGCCAGATCATTTTTGCCTCGTGTTTTTGCTCCTGTCATAACTTCAGGGTCCAATTTCAATAATATTTACGCGTCGTTAACAGTTCAAGTTCAGCTCACAAAGCTCTGGCATTCGTAATAAATTCGAAATATTTCCAAGAACACTTAAAGGCACCCACAGCAGTTTCTAGGCAGTAAAATTGTTGTTTTTTTTAAGTCAATTTTCTGGTCATTTTTTTTTATGTAGCCAGTTGAATCAACCCTATTTCATATCTGTGAAGCAAAAATGCGATGTCGCTGACGGAAAACGGTTGCTTGTTTCGTGTCATAGGCTGGTTCTGACTATTTATTGGTGGTACCAAAAAATAAGCACATAGTTTGTTTGCGGGCTATTTTATACACTTTAAGTATGAAATGCTGACGAAAATCTGCTAAGACTGAATGGCAGTAAATGTTAATATCAGACAGCTTTTCATTAATATCATACGTACACAGAACTTCTTTGTTCCCCGTCTTGAAATTACATTGGATGCCTTTAATTAAATGTACTAAGAACGTGTTCTTATCAAAGACTCAAATGTAAAAAAAAATGTCTGTTTTTGTTTTGCCTCCCTGAAGTTTTGGATGCCCTTAATTCTCCTGAAATCAAACTATTTTCACGAACTGTTCTACTAATTTGTTTACAGCTCTCTGTCCATGTCGTTAAGAAATTGGGATATCTGTAAGAACCTCGCGAGCTGTCAGTCCAATTGTAGCATGATTTATTGTGCAGACCCCTCTCCGATGTCGGAAAATGCCAAACAAACCCGGGCCCGCTGATAAACCCAGCTGACGGGGTGACCTGTGTGTGCGCGTCGGGTAGCCGGGTCACGGCAAGGTGCTGCGGAGAGTTCGTACAACGGTTAGCAGTGCAGTTTTTAGGGATTGGAAGCCCGAATTTCCAAAGCCAGTATTCTAGTCATTTATCTACATACTGAGTTGAAACCACACTATCCCAATGTATATTGATCCTCATGTATTAAAATTCCCAAAATTCTTACGGAAAATCGGTTACTACAAATGTAGAAAGGCACTGGGTTCCATTCAGAAAATAAAGGACTCATCTTGGGGCTTGTTTGTGAAGTTTTAAATGCCAAAAGTATGAAATGCTGATTTGAATGTGCTAATGCGAAGTAGTATGTGTCAATATCATAACAATTGCCTTATTCAGAATACTTCCAGTTTTGCTGCCCTGAAATCGCATTGGATGCCTTTAAGGGCCCAGTTTCAAAATCTCAAAGGAAATCTGGTGGCTGCAATACGGTATCAAATTGGCAGGACAGTATCCATTTGGCGTCAAAACTATACATTTTTGATAAAAAAATTACAAAAAAAAAAAGAATTTTAAGAAAGAACAATACAGTAGTCAACACCGCAGTGTTACATTTTTCTACCAAATTTGATCATAATTGCTTCATACTTGCGAGGCACTACGTTCCCTGGAGTGTGTGAGTGAGTTGTGGCACAGGAGCCCAAAATATATATTGTTACCTAAAAATAGCAAACAATGCTAGGGAGAAATTAAAATGCCTCCACAGCCAAATTCGCTTAGGATAGATTCTACTACATGTTTGCCAAATTCGGTACATTTAGACAAAAGTGCACCGTTTTTCTGCTATACCGCCGGATTAGATGTATGTGATCGGGGCTTTAGCATTTCTTTCACTGAACGCCGAACTACCGTCGCGACCCTCTGTCTTCCCCGCCTGACCCGACGCCTGCACTGTCTGTACGGAAGTGGGCCGGTCGCTTCGGGTTTCCCTAAATATTCCCCTTCTGTCACTACCAACAATTACTGTAACGTTAGGTGGGCTAGATTAACCGGTGCGGTCACATTTAGTCGCAGTTCGTCGTGCGATTTTTGATGCTGTAGAATTTTTCAAATAGGCTATAACAGAATGAACCGCCTACTTTCTGGCGCCCCTTTTTAAGTGATTTTTTTCCACATACGCATTTGTACTATTAAGAATGTTCTCAATTTGCAGTCACACGACGATCCTACGACGACTATGTACGACGAATGTGGTCGGGACTTTAGTACGACAAGGATCCAAGACAACCTTTTCCGTAACTACTGAATTTTGTACGACATATACACACGACTGTCCCACGAATGCGCTCAGTGTACAGTCATACGACGATCGTAGGACGAATGTGTACGACGATCGTACGACCAATGTGATCGGTTCCTTAGTAGGACAAGGATCCAACCATCCCTTCCGTAACAACTGAATTTTGTACGACGCATTCGCATGACTACTAGTATCTCAGGAATGCCTTCATTATACAATCATAGGACGATCGTACGTGTGTACGACGATTTTACGATAAACGTAAGACACAAAGAAGCTGACCTGGTGGTTCTGGTACGACGTGACCGCCATGAACTCCGTCTCGGGGAAGACAAACGTTCTAAAGCACGTCTTCTTGAGTTCGAACTTGTTGTTCTCGCTGGCCTGCACGATGTGGAGCCGCGGCTGGTACTTGTGCATAGAGTTCAACATAATCTGAACAGGGACAGAACAAGTAAATAGACTTGGTGATGACTATATTATTCGTATTCACTGACGACAAATTGGCACTGGTAAATATTAAAGTAGGAAATTGATACATTCAATGTAAGATCAGTCATATGTTAACGTAAGTGCACATACACATATCATAAATAGAAAAGCGTAGATACAAACAATTACCTATTAACGATATAGAATATGTAAATATTGAGTATGAAAAGAAAATGAAATACACTTTATTTGCCGTTGCGCACAATACAGCCCTGAAGTTATTTGAACTAGTCAACCTGCTTTATAATCTTTCAAGCCTAGAAAAGCTATATTTCTACTATATATTTTCCAACACATATATCTCGCAAAAACATCGATTGGACATTTCATACTCCACTGCATACAGAGAAGAAATCAAACACAACAAGATCTGTATTAGAAGTAGCGCTAGTTTATAATTCTCAATTTACTTCATACGTATTTTATCGTTTACTATTATTCTGTCATTTCCGATGATGATCATTATTTTATCGTTATGTTATCACACTTGCAATTAGAGATTCACACCTAATTAGTTACGCTTTAAAAAGTGGTTAAAAAAACATACTACCACGCTTACATGTCCGAATGTGTCCATATAGTTGTTGGTTAGCTTGAGTTTCTGGAAACACACCACTTGTTTCATCCAGTGCGCGCCCGTAGCCGGCGAATCGGGGTGCACGAATACTCTACCCGGCATGGCAGGCTCGGCCTTCCCCGCCACAGACCACTTGGACTCGTTAAACTTGTAACGGTGAGAGTCCACAGCGACGATGTCCATCACGAAGATGTACTTTGTCTTGGGCTGGAGGCCGGTTACCTTCACTTTAATAGATGGAAACATGCGCCTGGAGACAGAAGAGAAAATATATGTGTTAGCGACAGTTTGGGGAGATAGTGAAAAAAGTACAAGCTTGAATATCTTTGCTACCTGTTTAGAGGACATATATTTGGGTGTTGTTTTGGTAGTAATGCTGCAAGTTTGTGCTTTCTTGTCAAAAAATCATGTTCGTTTGCCTCTTTTATTTACAATGCGCGCGAACTTGTAGTTACCTATATAGAAGGAAACTTAAGTGAGAAAGAGCAGCACAAATTAGATACACGGGACTGCACATGAAAGCATTAGGAGGAAAATTTCGGAGTTTTGATGTTCATTCCTTTCGTCGGTCGGGAGGTTTCTCTTTCAGACTTTTTCAAAACTTTGATTTGATAAACTTCAGAACAGACACAGAATACACACTGTACACGAAAGACCGTAGCCAGTCTACAGGACATACAGTGAACGGAGGGACCTAGCTTCAACTAGAAGTAGAAATTGGCAAAATAGCGACTAACTGTACGCCTTTAGCGGACCAACTCCCTTGGCATGTTATCGGTCTATTTGGACAATTTCTACTCTTTCCAAAGCCTGGTAGAGGCTAGAAGGAAGCGCCTGTCTCTGAAAGAAGAAAAACTTAAGGGGAAGCTAGCTAGTGTTATTTATGTGGCAGTGTCAAAGAAAGGCAAAGTCCTGTATGTAGAGACTGCGACGGTGCGCATGCAGACAGGCGCCACCGTGGTGTATCAAGTACGCCAAGCCGTCTGCACAATCCCAAGTTCGGGGGAGGCCACTGGGTCTTTGCGCTTCGTCTTTCAGAGATCGAGACGATCTCTTTAAACAGTTACATGTAGTTAGATAGAAGTTGGTGAGAGGGAATACAGAGTAAGCCCTGGTGATAGACGGCCATGGTTTTCGATTTGCCGCCCGGATGTAGCTTTTCAGACTGGATGTTGTTGCCTTTGTCGGTTGGACTTGAACCGTGCACTGTTAATAGTAGTAGGGAAAATGGCCGGGCAGCGAAATCAGTAGACACAGGTCTACAGGAATGGACGCTTCTACCCTGGCGAAGCCCCTACCATAGAGGTACGCCTTCTTTTCATAGTACAATCGCATTGATAGCAACGTTTTCACAAGCAGAAATTAGAACATAGAGAGAGGATATTGGCATGAAAGTTTTAGGACTTCGAATACATGTAAGTTAGAGCGCCTGAGAGCTTTATAATGCCTCTATTATTTTGCCGACTATCTTGGTAAGTCTACATATAAAATGCATGAAGCAAATTTATACTGTCCGTTTCAACACACAGAAAATGGACTTACCCAAATTTTCAACTGTACAACTCCAGTCAAGGAATGAATAATTTTTGTGTTGGAAATTACAGTTTAAACTTGCTTCATAATGACTTCTACCAATACAGATGAACTTTCAAGATAAGCTTCTTGCTTAATATACAGTAGAGGAAAAGTATGCTTGGGTGAATCTAGTAACATGGGCAGAACAAGTGTCGTTTTCGGCTCTATTTTTGGTGACATTTTTTTGTAGCGACAAACGCTGATTTCGTTCGCCGCCTTCCAGAGGTTTTGAAAGTTATTTGTATATTCCTGTGAGGTCGTAAATGATCAACCGCAGCATTGTACAGTGACACCGAGCCTGGTAGGAAATTCACCCAAGTCGTGAGAGATTCGTGAGTCGGGCTACTTTTACAGTACATTTTTTTTCTATTTGCAACTCAACATGGATAATACAAGACATGGTAGTAAGGTACTCTAGCTATAGCTAATTTTAAACTCACCACCAGACATACAAGTATACAGTGACAAAATACATGACAAAAACAGCAAATGGGTGGAAATGAAACAATAAATGGTAAGAAAGAACATGTTTTGTAGGCTATGTAGGAGTTAATCTAATACAAACCGTTTAGTATCAATAACGTAAGTTTGGGTGATTGTCAAAATGTTACAGTTTGTATCTGGGTAAACCGGGTGATCCTCTAAGTAAAATGTTACATAAGAATTGTTGTGTAGATTGCTGAGTAGGGTGACTCTTTGCCGATTATATACTGTGCAGTGTAACAGAAAATAGTAACAGTAACAGTGTAACAGTACAGTTGGAGTTTCTAAAAGGCATTCAATGCAATTCCAGGGCGGCAACACAAAAAAGTTTCTGGAAGAGAAAATCTGTCTGACATTGACATTTACTGCCATTTCTTAGCACATATGCATTTTCGTCATCATTTCATACTTGAAGCATTTGAAAGAGCCCAGAAACAAGCTACTTGGCTACGCCAGGAGTCATTTTATTTTTCGATACCATAAATAAATAGCGAGAACCAGCCTACGATATGAAACAAGACCCATTTTCCGTCGCATTTTGCCTCACATACAGTATGCTATGAGATAGGGTCGATTAAACTCACTACATTAAAAGAATGACTTGAAAATTGACTTTGAAAATCCAGCTTTACTGCCCTAAATTCGCTTTGGGTGCCTTCAAAAGCTAGGAGAAATAATTCAGTATCTTTCAGTATTATACCAGATACATTGATGAATAAAATGTATTTCATATTCCGCTGTTTTTTTGTACAGCGTGTATACATCCCGCTATTAATAAAATGTGCACTTTCTTTTCCATCCTTTTCTCTGCGATCCGTACACTTTACGTAGTAGAGTTGGAAAATTTTGACGTAGAAACAAGGAGGTTCTATATTTGTTTAGAACAGTGGTTCCCTGACTCCTGTCTCTTAATTATAGCGTGTCTATTTCAGCTGGAGTATCTCAGAGGGTAATTCTTTCTGGGCCAAGTCTGCATGTGTTTGAATGTTTCGATCTTAGAGACCACATGTTAGAGAATAGTTAAACCTTTACTGTTACCGCATACACATACTCTGTACGTAGGATAACGTTATCCACACATGTATTTAGCTTTGTTAGATCTTTAGTTGTAGAAGACCATACAAAAGTCCCCGTACTTTTTGTTGTGTCAATAAAGAATCTGTGTTACAGAAAATACTGTCGTAGACCCTTGTCGGCAGTTGGTTCTGTCTGTTCAAAAATAAGACCACATCAAAATCGTACGACGGCCCACGACAATTGTGGCCGCGCCGATATTTAGGATACGACGACCCAGCACACTTCTGTAAAATTATGTGTATAGATTTTATCAATAAGACTTTGAATGATGTCAACTGTATCTTCGTCATATATTTTGTCTGACCCTTACCCCTTACCTAATGATATCAATAAATGAAAGACCTTTATTGTACACTTTTGCTCATTGCGAACTAAGTACAGGTCACGGCAAATAGCGATGGTAGACTAAATATATCTATAGTAAAACTACATATGTACAGGTTCTGCTTCTTCTCGCTTCTTAAGACAATTGTAAATGTAAGAACATGTGGAGCTTATAGTACGAGAATTGTCGAGTTTCATGAGGAATGTGAATTTTTCTTTTCTATCTAAAAATCTAAAACTAGGGAAATAATATTGTATACAATTGAAGAGAATCTTTCTCTCATTATTATATAGGGTACAGTCCACAATAAAATTCTCATGAATAAACAAAGGTTCAAATAGAAAAACTTCAACAACAACAACATTCAATAATCCTTCCTGTGCCAGGCTATTATTTCTCGTATCTGTTGGTTGAGGATACAGGGGTGTAGAAGCGCGAGTACAGGGGATATCAGGGCTGATATGGCCTCAGATACAGCCCGTTACACGCCCGTACACACTTCAACCACAGCTCGGCGCTTCTGGTCTCAGGTTATTTTTCTGTGGTCTTGTCTAAATGGGTGTAGAGGCGCGAAGTGCCAGCACTAAGGATGTGTGTGTGTGTCGTGTAGGCTACTCTGATAGGCCATACTCCTCAACTTCGACTCCAAGCAGAGGTTAGCCTTTTTTGGAACATTTTTACGCGTTTTGGGGCGTTTTCTCGGGCTTTCTATTTTGTCCTCCGATAGCTGTATTCTTTAAGCAGAGAATATGCTTGTTTTGGACGTTTTTTGGGAACGTTTTAGGCGTTTTTTATGCTTCTCAATTTGTCCTCTGATAGCTGTACTCTCTCAGCAGAGGGTAGGCTTGCTTTGGAGTTTTTAGGCTTTTTCCCGGGCTTCCTATTTTGCCAAATACCCCAAAGAAAAGCAAAACTGAAAATAATGCAATAGAAAGCCAAACAACACGCCTAAAACCTTCAAAACAAGCCTAACATTTGCTTGCAAAGCACGGAAATGAAAACAAAAAAAAAAAAAAAACGCCAGGAAATGTCAGGAAAAACGTTTCAAGACAATCGGCATTTTGACTGCTTCTTTCGCGTCTGTTTTTTTACACGTTGAAACATACACAACTGAATCAAAAATGCCAAAAAATTGTTCTTATCTTGGTGTCTTGTGTAAAAATTATGAAAAACACACTGTAACTTTAAGTGAGGCCGAACACAACGCTTAACTCTCTCAATAACATATACATACTCGTACATCTCTTGCCTACAAGTTCTCTTAGATATTGAGTGGTGTATCTGGTGCACCCTGCCCCTCTATGAACTCTGCTGATTCAACAACAATTTCCAAGAAATAGATATTTTGGCAGACGCCAATAACTTAATCTCAGTCCTGTAAAGACAAAAACAATACTTGCGTCACTACAGCAGTAATCGTTTCCTGTTTTTGCTCAGAAGTGCGTCAAAAACGTCAATATTCTCCACTTTTGCTATCTCTGACAATGTTGTTTTCGAGCAGCCTCCATAGCATGCCAAAAACTGGGGGTTTGGGGGGTCTTCAGGGTCTTTGGGAACTTTTATGTGATATTCTCTGATTGCATATAGACAACATAGCTGGCCTGGTTGAATTACCCCCGTTTTTTTAGAACTGGGCTTATCAGAAAACAGCCGAAGACCACCAAACCCCCAGTTCTATAAGCCTGCTTCGGAGGCTAGTTTTCGAGTGCCTTGGACTTTTGCTATGCGTGTATAACGCTTGCGCAGACTTCTAGTGGGACACCGTTTGTCTCTACAAGCGGTTAGAGCGGTGGTTTCTTTTCCGAGGGAGGGCCTTACTGAATAAAAAAATTCAGTATACCGACTAACAGTACTATCGAAAAAGACAACAAGGGCACTACAGTGGCGCCTGTCTAGGGATTCGAACCCAGAACCCTTAGGTTCTCAGTCAACAATCCTAATCACAAGACCATCTTGAGACCTATTGCATTCAACTATTTATGGCATATGAACTCTGAATGTATTTTTCTCCATTGTCATTCCAAACCTGTATCTTTATAGATATGCTTTTATCTCAAACAATATCAAATTATTCAAGGCTAGTAATGTCTGACTGCGGTCTAGCCTGGCGTCCAGGCGCCTGGGGGCCACTAACCACACACAAAATACCCGCCCTGTGGAAAAGGCCTGCGGTTCTAGACCACCCTGGCTGGCCCATAACAGACCTCATCTCGTGGGAAACCTTTTGATACTTCCCATTCAAATTGCTGAAGTATTTCCCGTGAACCTATACGAGAGAAAAAATAACGGTCTGTCCGTTTGAATTATAACCTTGGAGCAGCGCGGCAAGCGGTCGGGTCCACCAGAGGCAACGGTCGGGTCCTGCGTTTCTTTGCGGCTGATAAAGTTCGATGCGTTACGATGCGTTCCCACGACGGGTCCTAACCGAAACAAGCTGATCTGATGGCCCAAGTTTGAACTCTTTCTAATGAACAAAGGAGCAGAGGACTGACGGAACAAGTGTAATTTGTGATAGAGCTGCAAGAATCTGTTGGAACAACTCTGAAAGGGGCACAGTGTCGTGGAAATAAAAAGAAACCTACAGTGGGTGTCACTTGAGGACAGACGAAAAATGTCCAGACTATGCATGATGTACAAAATGACCAACAAACTGGTTGACGTCCCAACTACTAAGTATCTACTCGTAATACCAGTTAAGTAAAGTAAAAGAATAAGAAATTGTCATGCCTTCAAGTACCTGAGTTGTGAACCAATAATATGTATGTTGCACCCTAACATTAAAAACTCCAGTCATAAAACTAACGTACATAATTATGATCTATCTCATTGTCGTTTGTGTGTATAAATACCAATAATCCCCAAAACTAGAAAACATGCACTACAAAACAGCAAATCCTAATAAAACATAATGGCAGATGTTACAAATGTCAGAAAAAAACATCCACTGCCCCTATAGCAGATAGTTTTGTTCTAAGTACTTTTTAGTTTCCAATAAGAACATGTTCTTTGTACATTTGATTGAAGAGCCGAAATAAAGTTGCTTTTCGGGCTTTACTTTTACAGGGTGGTCTGTTACTACAGATAACGAAATGAGGAAGAAAGAGAGATTCCAACAGATCCTTGGGTCTGCTTTTCTTTTCCATTGATAAATTTTGATGTGTTTCTTGGATTGTGTAAACATCACAGCTGAGGTTGTACAGGGAAGATAGAGACCACCTAGTACCGAACGTACAGGCAAAACTTACAACAGGGGTGCCAGAGTATATTGTGCACTTTTACGGAATACAGTACAATGGTATTAGTATACAGTGCAATTTTACGGAATACAGTACAATGGTATTAGTATACAGTGCAATTTTACGGAATACAGATCAATTTACGGAATACGCTGCAATTTTACGGAATACAGTGCAACCGTATTAGTATACAGTGCAATTTTACGGAATACATTGCAATCGTATTAGTGCAGTGCAATTTTACTAGTATACAGTGCAGTTTTACTAGTAAAATTGCACGGTATACCAATAGTAATACGCTTTCACTGTATTCTGTAAAATTGCACTCTATACTGATACGATTCTACTGTATTCCGTAAAATTGCAGCGTATTCCGTAAAATTGTACAGTATACTCTGGTACCCCTGATCTAAAGTAAATGCCTGGTACATTCATTTTGGCAACACGACCACGTCAAAGTTTTATTTTTGTCAGTAAATTGTACATATTCTGGTCGACAAAATGAAGCTTTCCTTAGCAAGAAGAACATGTCCTCTGTGCCTGTAAGAACTTTTCAGCGTGTCAAACAACTATCCACCAGATCCCATGCCTCCGATTCGAACGGATAACACTACTGAACAAGAAATAGCCATGCTTTCAAGTACCAGAGTTATCAACCAAGGATTAAGGTGTTCAAGAATTCATTCTTTCCTAGAACTATCGCAGAGTGGAACTCACTGTCACCAAGTACAGTAGGGGCATTGTCATTAGATAGCTTTAAACAATGTCTAGAGTTAGATGTTCATGGGTTAGTTGTAAGAAGTCGATCGGTGTAATGTAGCCGGCTGCCGCCGCGCCGCGTGCCTGCGAAGCTGGTGTGTTACGCCGAAAGGCGGTTATACCGGCTATACAGATACAGAAGCTGGTGTGTTACACCGAACGGCGGTTATACCGGCTATACAGATACAGATACAGAAGCTGGTGTGTTACGCCGAAAGGCGGTTATACCGGCTATACAGGTACAGATACAGATACTGCCCGCTGGTCTCAGCTGTGTACGCTGAAAAGTTGGACCAACCAATCATGCTCTATCACCACATGATCTCAAAGCAAGACAAAGAATCGAGATCAATCCACTCCGGAGTACCCCATGCATTCTAAAACTTTGTCCAATCGATCGTAAGTTTTGTGGTGGTACCACTGGTCCATTGGCGACCAATTCCCACGTTGTTAATACTGGCGATAGTTATTAACTCCGCACAGGAACTACATCGATAACATGTTTAAATTACCTATCGGCTTTTTTTTTAACTCACTCTTTGTGGGATCGATACGGCCTGGACATATGGCACGAGGGAAGCGGAGACAAAATTAAAGGCAACATATCACGATACATGTACAAGCGCGTTGGTATTTGTTTTAGGTCGCGGTTTTAACGTTGTATTTTCCTCTAGAGCAAAGGATTTGCCAATTTTGAGATTTAGATAAGATTGAGGATGAGTTTCATTTTGTAGTCGATTGTATGTTATATAGTAATAAGAGAGATTCCCTATATTGTTATATACTAGACAAGGTTCCCAGCTTTGGACATTTAAATGAATTACAAAAATTCATATTTCTTATGAAACTTGACAAACCATGTATTTTTAGTTCTATATGCTCGTACATTTTTAACTGCGTCAAGAAGCGAGAAGAAGTTGAACCTGTAAATAGTAGATCACATTAGTATGTATAGTTTAAGTGTCATTGCTGTACCCTTTTCCTTGTCTTTTCATAGCTGTTCATACAGACCTGTATTTGACCTGTGCGTGTTATGTGAAGTAGAAAAGTTTGTACGTACCTCCCAGCCTTCGTTATAATCATCTCTGTTCCCGCTTTGTGAAATCTCTGCCAGAGACCAGAGTCTTGTAGGTCTACCTTCACGTCTTCTAAGCCCTTAAGGAAAAATAGACATCAATTAACTATATCTTAAGGATGTTAACGTTCTATTGTAATGCGTAAAAACATGTAGTTTTAGCCGTGTGTACTATGTAAAACATACTTGTGTACTTTATTCAAGCGTATACACACATAACACCACTACAGTATTGAAACTGTTTTTGAATATAGATAAGCCAAACATGATATTTGTGTTATTTCACACAAACAGATGATTTAGATATATGATATTTAAAAAGAAACGCACTTGTATTTCCGTACAATTGTTGTGAACCGTACTTATAGCCCAGTGTGGGAAAAGTTTGCAATAAAGGTCGTCAGTCATTCTTTCATTCAATGATGACCATGACTTCTGAAAATTATCTCATGAGAGGATAGTTTACGACAAACAAAAAGGTCCTGAATTGAAAGCAAACCAAATTCCTCTTAAAGGCATCGAATGCGATTTTAGAGCAGCAAAACTTGAAATATTCTGAATAAGGCAATCTTTGTGATATTGGCACATACTGCTTCACATTAGCACATTTCAATCAGTATTTCACACTTTGGGTATGTAAAACTGCAGGAACCAGCCCCAAGATGAGTCCTTTATTTTACGGGAGGTACTAGTACCCCAAAAGTCAGTCAAGGGCCCTTCCAGTAACCATTTTCCGTCAGAATTTTTGGTACATTTGCTCCATGAGGGTCATTTTACATTGGGACAGTGTGGTCTCAACTCAGTATGGAGATAAGTCACTAGAATATTGACTTTGAAAAAATTGGGTTTCCACGCCCTAAAAACTGCATTGGATGCCTTTAACTTTTTAAGAGGAATTTGGTTTGCTTTCAATTCAGGATGAAATTCCTTCGTTATGATTATCTATTTTACGGTGTGTTTGGGTCCCTGTTTGCTAACAGAACTGATAACCTACAAGGCTCGTTTTGATATGGTTCCATTAGGGTACCGTATGTTTGCTTTGTTTATCTTTATCCACGCGTCCCATTTCCCTAGGGGAATTATATACGACAAAAACCCGGGGGTCTTTAATGAAGATAGTCTCTACCAGGCTTCAGGAACGGCTGCTGGAGAGAGTAGAAATTGGCCAGATAGGCAGATAACATGCCAGGGGAGTTGGTCCGCTGAAGAAGCACAGTTTAAAGGCATCCAATGCGATTTCAGGGCAGCAAAACTGGAAATATTCTGAATAAGGCAATCTTTTTTGATATTGACACATACTGCTTCACATTGGCACATTTGTATGAGTATTTCATACTTTGGGCATTTAAAACTGCAGAAACAAGGCCCAAGGCCCAGGGCCCTTCCAGTACCATTTTTCGTCAGAATTTTGGTAATTTTTGCTCCAGTACACATTGGGATAGTGTGGTTTCAACTCAGTATGTAGATAAATGACTAGAATACTAGACTTTGAGAAGTCGGTTTTTCAAGCCCTTAAACTGCATTGGATGCCTTTAAGATTGGTGCACTGTACTCCTTTAGCGGACCAACACCCCTGGCGTGTTATCTGTCTATTTTACCAGTTTCTGTTTTTTCCAGTCGCTTCTGAAGTCTGGTAGATGCTGGGAATACGGATAGAGGGTATTACATTTGAACAAACATAAGAAAAAGTCTAAATACTAGAAATTCCACAAATTCCAGATTCTAAACACATTTTCGTCCCATATTACATAGTCTTATGTAAGGTAGAGTAGTCTAGCATTTTTCTTATATAGTAGTAGATGCTATGCATTGTACTTGTGCAGTTGTTGCGCGACAAAGTTTATTATGCATTTTTTGCTACCGCTTTGGTGAATTTTTACCAAATACTGTTTTCCGCCATTTCATTTTCTAAACTGATGCTGAATGGAACTGCAACAGACGCGTATTGCTAGTTTAGAGTGTTCGTAACTTAACATAATCTAATCATGTGAAATACTCAGGAAAACAAATTTGCGTGTCATAACATTACCATATTCAACAACTTTCTGAAACTGGGACGAATTTACACAAAGAATGAATGACCGACGAACTGTATTGAAAACGGAACTTCGTAACACCTCCAATTATGTAAGAGTGTGAATATTGACAATTATTACTAATGTCAGATTTGAAAATATGATATTTCTACCGTACAAAATGCATGGCTATCATGATAAACTTGTTGAATGTTTCTGGGGATGTACTATTTCATTCTATGAACAATCGTGTATGCCTTTTGCTAGTCCACAAATGCTGATATCTATTTGACACATTCCGTACATTATGGATCTATGGAACAACAGTAGCCTCCACCAGGCCTTCCTAAAGGTGTTAGGATAGTAGAATTCGCCATAGATATGGTCTAACTGGCAGGGAAGTGGGTTAGGATAGTAGAAGCCGGCAAAATTAGGGTCGTGTGGCGTAGCGGCAGAGTGCTCGACTCGGAACCCAGTGGTCCCGGGTTCGAGTCCTGACATGCCACCGATCTTGTGCCCTTGGGAAAGGCACTCTACACGACTTTCCTCACTTCACTCAGGTGAAAATGAGTATTGTATTGTCCCCTGTGTTGGTGGTGGCATTAATATAAGTTGAAAAAAACTTGATTGCGCCGTCACCACGTCTTGTGATTAGATGTTGGAATATAAAAAAAAGTACCACCGTAGAGTTCATTTTTCCTCGGAATGAACTGTACAGTGTCCAAACTCTTGGTTTTCCTCAAACGTTTTGGTTAAATTTGACTGTTTTTGAACCCGCGGTGTTAGCTAGTGGAGGCTATAGAACAACAACAACAAGGGCCGGCTGGACATTGGGCATGTGTTTGCGCTATCTGGCTGATTCGGGCTCAGTTGTAAATTCGGTATATCCTGGAATTCCAGGGATCCAGTCCTGCACAATGCAACAGACATGTCAAACACTTAAGCTTAGGTCTGAACACTTAGTTATATCTCCTTTCTAATGCCCTCTATTAATGTGTGTAGTCTTTTAGTCAACTGAAACTGAGACGTATGCTTCATAATGTGAAATATTATTGTTAGGTTAGGTACTGTGTTGTACTGGTTCTGTACATGGCAACATGTAGCAACATAGCCTCCGTAGCAGGCTTATAGAACTGGGGGTTTGGTGGTCTTCGGCTGTTTTCTGATTAGCCCAGTTCTAAAATTCAATCAGGCCTGCTATGTTGTCTATATGAAATCAGAAAATAGCACATAAAAGCTCCCAAAGACCCTAAAGACCCCAGTTTTTGGCATGCTATGGAGGCTATAGCAACAGACATGTCAAGGATTTACGTCACAACACAGTTATATCTCCTTTCTATTGTGCACAATACACGAACGTGTGTAGTCTTTTAGTCCACTTGAGATTTATGTATGATTCATATTGTGAAAGATTATTGTTAGGTTAAGTTAGCGTCCACAAGGCCTTCCAAAGGGGGTTAGGATGGTAGAATTCGGCAAAAATAATAGTGTGACTTGCCAGGGGAGTTGGTCCACCTAGCTTCTATAGCATGCCAAAAACTGTCTTCAGGTCTTTGGGAGCTTTTATGTGCTATTTTCTGATTGCATATAGACAACATAGCCGGTCTGGTTGAATTTTAGAATTGGGCTAATCAGTAAACAGCCGAAGACCACCAAACCCCCAGTTCTTTAAGCCTGCTACTACTGACGGAGGCTATGGTCCACCGTTGGGGTTCTATTTCCCTTGGAATGGCAAATGAACTCTACGGTGGCCAAACTTTCCTGGCTAATTATTCTCCCTATTGTCCCTAAATTTACTGTTTTTGAATTGTTGTTAGTCTGTTGTTAAGTATACTGGTTCTGTACATGGCAATGTTATGTGTAACATATATGTTACGTCTAGAGCTCTAGTAGTGGTCACTAGTAGTAACTATACGTTTTTTCAATCAACTCATCTTATTTACGTCGATGAAGGTTAGACATCCAGGTAATAAGATACGCCAAAAAGCAGTTACTCAAGCAACTGGATATGATTTTGGAAACGGTCAGATGTTTCAGCTAGTATCCACTAGCTTGTGCCAGTGGCTGAGAAACCAGAGGAGAAATGCAGGTTTACTCTTATATATATAAGCACAAACTATTGATTGATATGCAAATATGTGAAGACAACTCATCGTTTTGTTTCGTAAAAGTTGGAGAGATTCGTAGTGATTTTGCACAATTGTCTTAAGGTTAGGTTTATGAAGGGTTCACTTAAGGGTCATTTTTAGATCCCCCAGAGGCAACTTGAAGTGCTTGTCCATGTTGTGCACCAGACTAGACATCAGTTACTTCATGCGATCCTAATAAAGACGCTGACCAATTCACATTTCTAAGGATAAGCGAGGAGAATTTACTACTGCTAGCTTGATCATGTGTATGCATACATGTATACACAAGCTATTCCTTTGTTGTGATCTGTACTTAACCCAGTGGGTATGTAAGTACAATAAGGGACTTCATTCATGATCATTCATATAAAAAGGTAGGACATTGTCAGTCGAATGGTTACAGCCTTGAATCTAGTCTTGTTAGCCAATGGTCACTATTAACTGGGTAGCGACTGTACAAACTGGGTACCAGAATGGTTGCAAGGTCCTCAAGGGGAAAATTGTGTTTTTATAAAACATTTTGTGGCAAAACTTGTCCTGTACCTTTTCAAGCGGGTTCACTGCCATGCAAATGTTTGAAGAAGATAAATGTTTTGAAAATAAGTCGACAACCTGTGTAGCCTGGTTGCCTGACTGTTGCCAGGGCCTGTATACAGGCTAGCTCCGCGCGGCTCTAGGACCAACATGTCCCCAAGGAAATTTTTACCATAGACGCCCCTCAGGTTCAGTTCTATCTCAGGGCCTGGCCTAGCCTCTACCAGCTGCAGAAGCGGCTGGAAAGAGTAGAAGTTGGCCAAATAGACAGATAACATGCCAGGGGAGCTGGTCCGCCAAGTGATCATGAGTATGTATGCCGCACCCATACTCCTTTAGCGGACCAACTCCTCTAGCTTATCTATCTGTCTATTTGGCCAGTTTCTACTCTTTCGAAGCCTGATATAGGCTAGGCTGGACTGTGTACTGCCCCTGACAACAGTCTGGCATCCAGGCTATACAACCTGTGCTGAATACAAAGTGCAACGAAATCTCGGCGCTATACGGACCTCGGGGACGGCGTCTGTCCGGTCGTCGGCGCCAGGCGGGCCGTCCTCCTTCCTGTCCGCCGCCTCCTGGGGCCTCACGGGCCGGTCATCCCCCACGGACTCCTGCAACTCACCAGACATCGGGACTGGACAACTAAACTCTCTGTCAGGACAAACACAAACATTCACACCGCTGTTAGAAGTCTGATAAAAAAAAGGAAAGGAAAATTAGCCGCTAATTATTCGTCTGGTTTACCGGATTAAGTCTGTGACTATCCCAAACAAAATTATCTCAACGATAAAGAACTTTACTCTATAAAATCCTAAACGTGACATTTCTCTATAAACTTAAAACTGAGTAACTAACAAGACCAATGAGTTGAGTTTTGAATCTTGCGTGAAAGCTGCAATGTCCGATCAACTCCTTAAGTCTCTACGATATATAACCATGAAAGCACTGCTTCTTAAAGTACGTAAGTTCCTTTAACTGTACTCAGGATGCTGCATATCTTCATAAGACGTTTGTCTGCTACTAGTCGTTCTTTCACTTTGTCTTATAAGCAAGGAGGTTAAAAAGTTCCAACCTCCTTTGTCCTAAGCGAGGAGGCCTTTACATATACCGGTAGTAGACCACTCTGAGTTACGGGGGAGTTTGTCTAGCCTCCTTGTCTACCAGGCTTCAAAAGCGACTAGAAAGAGTAGAAATTGATCAAATAGACAGATATTATCATAATATGCTAGGGGAGTTGGACCGCTGAAAGAGTAGTCTCCACCAGACTCCTTTGCAGGCTGAATAAATAGTAGAAATCGGTTAGAGGAGTTGGCCGGCCTTAGAGAGTCCAGTGTGCACTGTGCAGGCAAGTTGGACCCTCTATGGCCGACCAACTCCTCTGGCCAATGATGTCCCCCTTAGCCGATTTCTACTATTTATTAAACCTGCAAAGGAGTCTGGTGGAGACTACTGAAGGAGTACATTTTAGCAAATTACTTGGCCAATTGCTACTCTTTCCAGCCGCATCTTAATCCTGCTACAGGCTTAAATTTTCCTGTTGTTTTCTTCTCTGTGAATCTAAAGTAGGATACTGGTATTGAAGTCTGCGTAGCCATCCCACACACAATACTGTCTAGCGGCCTCAGACAACAGCAAAACCGCGTCTTTACAGATCTAAGAACGCTGAGAAAAACAAGACGGGACTCCGCCGTGGACTAGAGACACCGCCCGCCCTGTTATCTAACTCACACGCGCCGAGGTCTTCTCAAAACCACTTCCCGACGCCTCGCCTTTGAGACACAAAAAAGATCCCGTCTTTAAAAACACATGTACACACAGAGATTACTCTTTTTATCAGAAACTAGACAATTTATTTGATAAAAGTTGTTAATACCGACTGTTCAGACAAAGAGCTTTATACGTCTCTGTAGACTAGATTCAAGAGAAAGTCCGTTTAGTCTTAAGACCGTCAGCTATGTACCTACACAATTGCTACCCTTATGTCTATGTGACTTATCTAGCCGTTTTTGCACAAGAAAACTGCTACTCAAGCGACTGGAGAGACTTGGAAAACTGTCAGACATTTCAGGTAGCATCTACTACTTTTCTTCAGTCACTGTTGCTTGAGTAACTGATTTCTTGTGTATCTCATTAACTGGATGTCTAACATTCATCGACCTAGTCGCTTTTGCTTTCAAAGTCTTTGAATTTCTTCTTTACCCACAAATGCAAATGTAGTTCGGTCAAATTTTGCCATGCGCTCTTTTTAACTGAAGTTAAAACATAAATGCCGATAGCATTCCTTTGGTCGGGACCCTAACTTTCTATCTAACTTTCTAATGCACAAGAACATTTTAGGACGTTTCCTTACAAGTCATGGTTAGCTTAAACTTTGACTTTTAGTACTTTTCCATCTGTCTTTTCAGACTTCAAAACAGCTTACAGATAGAACACAAGCTTTTTAGAGTTTGAAGTCTATAGAAATATATGCAGTACAATGATGAAAACTTTGCAATGTTCTTGGTTACATTTTTCGTATTTTTCTGATAGCGTGATACTTATTTCATTCCTGGGTTCCTCACATTTTGTGAATATCGTTCCATATAATATTCGATGCCATATTCCACTTGCAATGGAGTTTGAACACAACTTACGTATAGGAATATACATATTGAAAACCTTTCTCAATACATGCATACAACATTATTATCCATATCTATATCTATATACTCTATATATTTTGTATCCTAAATATCTTAACTACTATACCTAACTATACCTCTTTATGCTATACGCTTGTAACTTGCGAAATGAACATTTTGGTAACAAGAAAGATTTCAAAGACTTTTTTCTTCACTAGTTTCGGCTATCAAGTAGTTGTGAAAGGCTTTATTGTTCTCACCTAACAATACAAGTAGAAGTGATATTCTTTGCCGAATAGTGTAATCTCCAAATCTCCAAGAAGATCTTTTGGTAGCTACAAGACAGTATCGAATTGGCAGGGCAGTATCCAATACACCTCCTGAAGTTTGGATGTCGAGAAAAGACACGTAAAGAAATAAAGCCCAATAAAAAACGCCTAAAACACGTCAAACATACGCTCGAAGCCTAAATCTCTGCTTGGAGAGTAGAAAAGTAGAAAATAAAGTGATCATTGTTGCCACATTCCCCTGCAACAAAGAATTTGTCATTACTGTAACCTAAATGAAATTGAAGACGAAAGTCATTTTATTGCGGACGGTACTCTATATAATAACGAAAGATTCTCTTCAATTATAGACAAGATTATTTCCCTATTTTTAGATAGAAAAGAAAAATTCACATTCCTCATGAAACTCGATACTATAAACTCCATCTGTTCTTACATTTACAACTGTCTTAAGAAGCGAGAAGAAGCAGAACCTGTACATATGTAGTTTTACTATAGATATATTTTAGTCTACCATCGCTATTTGCCGTGACCTGTACGTAGTTCCCAATGAGCACAAATGTACAATAAAGGTCTTTCTTCTAAAAATTGTTCCGTTTTTCAAGATTAAAAGCTTTTATACTAGTTTCTTTCGTAGCACTGCTTTCGTCCCAGTTTCGGAACTGTTCAACATTTTCCTTTTTTTTTCGGATTTTATTTTCTAGGCTTCTAGCCTCTGGCATTTGACTATCTCTCGAAACGTTTGAAATCTCTGCGGAATTCGTTGGCATCCGAGATGAAGCCACGATTACTGTACCCAAACACACGGGTTCTAATCCCATAGTGTTGTAAGCTGGGATTATGTCGTATGTTCCTATATAGTTCAGATAACCACACCAAAGTTTAGCCTCCATAGCAGGCTTATAGAACTGGGGGTTTGGTGGTCTTCGGCTGTTTTCTGATCAGCCCAGTTCTAAACGGGGGTAATTTAATCTATGTTGTCTATATGCAATCAGAAAATAGCATATAAAAGCTCCCAAAGACCATGAACACCCCCAAACATTTTTTAAGTGAAAGCCTGGTAAATGGATACTGCCTGGCCAATTTGATTCTATTTTTGCAGCCACCAAAAGATCTGTTTTAGTAAGGAGCAATATAGACACAAGACAATGTGTAGAACTCGACTGATGGCATGGAAGTATACTATGCTCAATTACATGTAATTATTTACATATCAACTTAGAAATTAGAATCTATTATGAATTTACGGAAAGACGGGTCATTCTAAACAGGCAAACATTGTATCTTTTCTAAAACATACGACGTACACGACTTCCTATTAGATTAAAGCTCTTTAAAAGTCTGTTAATTGAAAAACTATAATTGTAAGGAGACCAAAAAGACAGTAGCTGTACAAGGATGACTTTGACCTTGCTTTGGTTCTGCCTTTCGTATTTATTAGTGGATCTTAATTGGATTTTTCTCTTTTTATACCTTTCTTACTTGTGTGCAAATTGTCCAGAGAATCAAATAACAGTTAAACTAAGGGTGATCAGCAAGTCGGTGTTAAAACCTATTTCCCCAGACCGCCTCTATCATCATCTAAAATTGTAGGAGATTTCACAATATTGGGTGAAAAGCGGGTGCTAAGTTGAAAAACGGGGGCATAATTAAGTGCGTAAGGATGAAACAGCCATTAGGGCAACTGTGTCAGAAATTAAGCTCCACTCTTTAAATGGCTGTCACATTGGCCGTGTATTCTTTACGCTTTGCCTTACACTTCATAAATGATATACATCTAATTCTGACGGTAAGACGACCCACGCATGAAGCGTAGTTTCTTCCTGCTCAACGGTGATTCATCTAGGACAAGTGATCTGTCCTGTATCGGTGTGTGGTATTATAAACGGTTGAGGCGAATTCTGGGGAGACTTTGTACGTACCTTGTGGTGGTGTAGTGGTGTCAGTAGCTCACAGCCTACTCACGCTCTGCTACGATGTTGCTGTGTGAAATCCAATGGGGGTTGGAAGTGGCGTGCCTCTGACTGTTGCGCAAGTTTTTTTGGCATCAGTAGTTTTCCCCTGTGAGCTTGCGCCGTCCCATCTGGCGATTACGAGGTCGATAGTAGTAGTGGTAGTAGGGGGGAGGGAGGAGTGATTTTGGCGGGGAGCTGGGCTCTCTGACGAGGCATGGTTCCTGCGCTGTGGTTGGGTGGGTTCGCCCAGGGCTCCGGGAGGGTCGGAGTTTTTTGGTGGTTGGTTGTTTGGTCGCTGGAGTGTGTCAGGGGCTGTCAGGGCGGGAGAGGGCCTAGAAGATGGATGTGGTGGAATGCCGGGCCCGTCCGACACACACGAGTGGCTCTGGCTATTGCCAATACAATTAGAGATGTTCGGCAAGACAAATTTAGGGCCCCATAATATCATTACTTCCATTTAGAGAACCGTTAGATGCACGGCTACTTCAGTACGGTAATAAAATGTACTCTCCAAGCAGATCTTTTTGAGGCTGCAAAGACAGTATCAAATTTGCCAGACAGTATCCATTTTTCCAGGTAGTTACCATTTGGGCTGGGATAAAAAAAAAGATACCAGCGCAAAAAAAAAAAAAAAACTAGTCTTGAAGGCCGATAAAAATGCCTAAAAAACGTCAAAAATAAGCAAAATCCTAAACGTCTGCTTGGAGAGTATGTAAAATTAACATCCCGTCTTTTAACAGTCATCTAACACCGGAGATACATCCACAGTCATTATGAACAGTGG